TTTTATTTTCTTCGCTTTAACAGCTTCGTCAGATTGCATATTTTTTGCGGAAAATGGACATTTTATTTCTATTAGTCCCGTTTTTCCCTCTTTATTTTTATAAATACCATCGGGACTCGCCCCTAAAAATTGTAGTGTTTTATGTATATATAGACCGCAGCGAGTAATTGTAATATTTTCCTGCCGAGATAACTGAGCCAATGCTGTTTGTTCATTAGCTTTGCCATATTTTATCGATGGAACATTAGATATGATTTGCGGTTTCACAATAGATCTCACTAACGGAGCGCAGCTGATGTTTTCTTTCCGTTTACATATCTTACCAAATATAGACGCGGTTAATCGATTTTTTCTGTTTTCTAACCAGTCTTGACTAGAACTTTGATCTATCGTACGTATCTGTAGATCGTCTCTTTGTTGGTCTGAAAGTTCCATTTGCTTAAGAAATTCACTTTTTGACATCTGAAAATCTTCTTCAGTCATATCTGGTCTTTGTGCTTTTTGTCCATAATCTGGATCATCCATATTTCTACGAAATCTTTTTCGAAAAGATCTTTTGTACACTTTTCTTTTCAGTTTTTGTGTCTCATATGAATTCGTATATTTACCAGTGGGTTCGCCAAATATGCGCTTATAGATTGTATATATTGGCCTTTTCGTGTTAAAAGAAATTGCTGCAGCCACACACCTTTCTTGGTATGAATTTCTTTGTGTGTAATTAATTCGTTTACCTCCCACATATTTAGCTATCACCGAATTGAATGTTTCAGCGGGATTGCTATCTACGTCAAAAACGAGACTTTTAGCATTTGAAGCTAAGAATGAGACAATTTGACTCATTTTTCTCCACAAAACTGTGTTCGCTAAGTCAAGTGCCGTATTACGATCAGTTTTGTCAGTCGCGGGGCATATATCATCATCGCAGTTAAAGTGACTACCAAAAGAATGGTATAATGCATTCAAAATATCTGATCGAAGTTTGATCATTTTCTGATTGTCAGATACTTCTTCGCGTTTCCGTAGCTTAATAGCCCGCACCGTATATCTGCGTAATTTCATAATTCTGAAGTCCGTTAAAAGTTTCCTTGATTGAATAGGTATATGTGAATCCTTAGTAAGTGCTCTCATCTTGTTACACAGATTTCTTAGAAGATGGTTTCTACACTCGATCTTCTGAACCTTGCAGTTTTTATAAGGATTGCTATCTAATATTTTTTTATAAGTACTTGAATTGCCATCTGATATTAATCTAGCATAAATTAATCCATGAGTTTCAAGTGAGGATTTAAACCCTTCAACGAGTGTTGTTGACTCCATACTGGAAGAACTGCCAGAAAAGTTCTTGTAGCATATGTGGTTTGCTGGTTCAGTTTTTTTGTTTTCAGCTTTTGCGCATACAATGCAGTATTTATTCTTCACGCCAAGGTACAGTATTTTACCAGTATATGCACCGATTATTGCTGCTGCTCCCGATGATGCTGAATAATTATTACGGAATGATCTTTTTGACCAACATCCGTCAGCTATAACGTCAATCATTGGTGTGCCTTCACTGTCTACATTTCCAATTTTTTTTGCATGTTCAGCCTCCTCGACGCCAGCCTTGGTCATTTCTTCCACTGCCGTTATATTGAACCATTCATAAACTTTTTTGCTTGTTTGAGCGTATAAATTTTTTGACATACCAGGTATATCGGTATTACCTGATAATTCATTCAAATTGCTTAACCCACAGCCAATACTAATAGTACCTGCAACAACACCGTGATTTACATCACAAGTGTTAGATGGATCTTCAGTGCATATGTCGAACTCTGAATTGCAGAGTTCACACTTAAAACGTAATTTTGATACAAAACCTTTTCGTCGCTCACCGATACATTTCAGATTTGTATATCTGCATCCAAAGGATTTAACATTATGATCAGCAATCTTCCCTAAAATTTCTAAAAAATATCTGATCGATACGATTCTTCGTCCGTCTAGGCAAAAAAGTTCGGCATCATTGGTCATTTCTGTATAATTTTCAATTTGTAGCTGGTGGTTTTGACTAACATTTATAAGCTCCTGACGTTTTCTTACTGAAATTCGGCGAAAGGGAAAAGCCTCATCAAACTTTCGTTTCCGTCTTTCCTTTTTATTTGTCATATCTTGACTGTCAGGCTTTGTTTGACTCTATATTTGTTAAAGTCGTTCGTAAAAGTCTACTTTCGTCATGTCCTGATAAACGGTGTTCGTCAATTTCAATGTTGCTAACATCTGACAATGGTTGGCGAGAACCAGCAGCGGACCTGGGTACAAATATGCAACTCATTTATAAACAATTCTTAAAAGTACCTACCTAATTATATACCTAATATTTAACCAAGTGCTCATACATATGCACGTTGTTAACTATTGTACTATGAAACACAAAAAACTTACCTTTGAATTCTATTTCTGTTCATTGCTTCAACGTTTGATTTCAATTTTCTTTTTCTGGTACAAGCATATTTTTTACGTTTATGGTCCATATCGAGATTAAAAGTTATAAAACAAATACAAAATGATTTATAAACCCTTAAAGAATTATATGCAAAAAATAATAAAGTAGAGCAACTTTCAATTCGTAACAATGCACAACCAAGATTAGGAAAAGAGAGAGAAAGAGGAATGTTAGAGCGAGAGGAAGCGCAAAAATTTGGCACAGACAAGACGTCTGAACGCTACAGCCGCTCAGCGGCTACTAAGGAATATTGCCCGCAATTATTGTTTATAGTCATTATTTTATAGGTTGATCGAAATAATTATTAATTTTGAAATAAAGTAGTTTAAATGATTATTTTTTAATATTTGTCTAATTAAACACCTGCCCTTGAGAAAAAAATAATTATAGCATAAATATTTTCAGCAATTGCTATGAACCAAATAGTTTTTTATGATGTGAAAACAGCGAAATTTGACGAAATTAAGACCTCTTATTTAAGACAATGAAAGATATTTAGGAAAAAAGAAACAGCGCATTTTAGAGATGAAGATGTTTAGCTATTAACGCGCTGAATAGATTTCGCCTTTTTATTATCGATTGCCTTATAATGGTACACGAACAAAGCTCGAAATTGCGTTGGGTGCGAGAGAGCTCTATTTACCGTTTGATTTATCTAACATAGACCACATAAATGAACCAAAAAAAATATGTAGCCGTTACTTATAATCTGGGTATTTATGTTTTATCAAAATATTTTAATCTGAAACAATAATTTGCTGTAAAAAAAGAAATCAAAGTGGCGCTAATGATTCGATGTGAGTCAACTTTAAAAGACTGTAGCCTTAAATGTTTTAAAAATTATTTATAAATTAATTAATAGCAATAGAGGTAAAGCAATTTCGGATTCTGCTGGAGCATTTAAGGAGCAATCAATTGGCATAAAGTTTAATTTTAAAAAAAGAGATTTTAAAATTAATTATAAATTAACTAATAACAATAAAGTTGGAGCAATTTCGGATTCTGCTGGAGCATTTAAGGAGCAATTAATTGGCATACGGTTTAATTTTAAAAAGTAGATATTTCATATTTTATAGCAAAATTAAATATTCGATACTCAAATTTTTAAAAAAAATAATTTTAAATTAACTAATAACAATAGAGGTGGAGCAATTTCAGATTCTGCTGGAGCATTTAAGGAGCAATTAATTGGCATACGGTTTAATTTTAAAAAGTAGATATTTTATATTTTATAGCAAAATTAAATTTTCGATACTTAATTTTTTTTAAATTAATTATAAATTAACTAATAACAGTAGAGGTGGAGCAATTTCGGATTCTGCTGGAGCATTTATGGAGCAATTAATTGGCATACAGTTTAGTTAAAAAAAAGAATGTTCTACGCTAACTTCCATCTGGTGGTATTTAGACTTAGATTGTTGCTTTTTGGTTTCAATTAGTAAAAATAATGAATGGTGAATGTGTTGTCTATACTTTTATCTCACGTTTTAACCAAAAAGATTTTCTATAATAATAACGAAATGGCCTAGAGATTTAAAACAGAAAATTTTTTATTTTTTTTATTTTTATAAATATCACACGGTGAAAGTGTAGACCCATTTATTAACTAATTGAGATGAGATTTTTTGTGGTGTCATTCAATGAAGTCAGTTCTTTAATATTTTTAAAACCATAACTGCCTATTTGCGCGTTTCTTAAGGACCGGCCTCTTAAAATATGAATGCTTGTTATAAATGGCAAATAAAAAATAGTATTTTTTTTAAATGTTCGGTTAGCAAGATAAATCAGCTACAAAGTTGTTTTGACAGCATAATGTTTTTGTGGGCCGTAAAAGCCATCAGTAATACCTCCTCGTCAGCAACTAAATCAAGGGTTATTAGAAAATCAGTAGATGTTTGATCACCTTGATAATGTATAATTTGCAAAATAAATAATTCTAACCCAAAATTGTTATTTGGTCGGCAGGACTATACAATCGGTTAGTTTAAATTATATTTCCTAGCTGCCCCAATGCGTGTTGGCGAACTTCACATGTCTTCGAATTTTTTTTTCTTGTTTCTCAGACATGCAGGTTTCCTCATGATGTTTTACTTCACCAACGAGTACGTGGTAAATCAGCACTTAAAATTGCAATTAGAAAATTTCATTGGTACCGGTGGGTTAATAACCCGGGTTGGTCGCGTACTGTGAAATTTACAGCAAGTACTAGCCATCTGAGCTACCAAGGCTCACAGAGTACCAGCGTAAAATAGCAGTTTAATCCTGCTGTGTTTCGTATGGCGAGTATTCTATCTTTTATTCATTCTATCTTAGTCCCCAGGGGTGACAACGCATCTGCTTTGTGATTCTTAATTGAGGGCAGAAGTAGATGCCTATGGACCACAGCATCCACTTACCATCAGGTGGACTGTGTGCTCATCTGCCTCACATATTTTATAAAAAAAAACTTGACACGTAGTGCTAGCTAGCAGTACGTAATGTTTGCAAAATTTTGAGTGTGGTCGCGTATCGGCAGGTGTCGCAGTTTGGCAAGACGGTGTGTCTCTCCGGCTTCATGGGGCTGGACATCCCCCCTCCCAATGGGCCGCTGTGGATCCTGGGCGACGTGTTCATCGGCAAGTACTACACCGAGTTCGACGTCGCCAACCAGCGCCTCGGATTCGCACCCGCGGTCTAGCCGCAGCGTCCGCGTCCCCAACTACACTAATAATAAACTTACACTTTCCACACATTCACCCAAAGCCACTCAAAATATTATAAATTTACTTAATATCTTAAGTAATTAATTACGAATGAAATTCATATTGCGAAACAAGCCCAATATTTCAGACAATGATTAAAAAACCCGACTGCATAAAAAAGTTTACTGAAAAGAGAAAAATTTTATACCCTATGTCACGGATTTAACAACCCCTCATATGTTAAAGTCCATCAAGCGGCTTGGGCTACAGAGCGTGCCAAAAAATATAGACACACATGCATACACACTCTAAAAAAACATTGGCCTTCTTCTGCGGCAGTTAGGTGAATAGTGTTTTAATACATTTTTCATTATTAAAAGCAGAACTCATAAGTTACATTATGTTAGAAAACTTTCCACTTGGTCTGACACTGAGACTCGATAAGTTTGGCAAAGATTTAAATAATTATAATAAAAAGTGTGTGTTGGTTTGTTGTTTGCTGCAGACATTACACTAGGTGTTTATGCTCATACAGTGCTTTTATAGTTATGATTTTCAGTTAGTGCATAGTTTTAGTAGTTTTTTTTTTTGTTATTTACATTTATTTACAACCTAGGTCAATAAAGACAGTGGATATGTTTAATGGAACATAAGAATCTTTAAACCAAATACTCGGAGCTTCACAAAATATTTTGGCACCAAACAAATATTGTTATTGCCAAAATTACGTCGCCCCGTTTTCAGGAATACAAGAACGACAATGTTTCTTTGCCATATAAAAGAGCCAAAAATAAATCGCTTAACTTGTATACACTACTCATTGTAGGCATATATTATATTCCGTATCACGGACATCAACAACCGATTGTACCATTTGTACTATTTGTTTATTTTGTATTTTGAGGCTAACAACTTAGAACTCATGACTGCAAATTGCTCTCTACTCGTTCAACTGCTTGAAGTAAATATTGTAAAATTTAGTAAATACTAAATATTAGTAGCAAAGAAACTATGTAGTTCCTTACTTTACCTTTTATAATATTTATGCAATAAATGTTTTAAATACATGTTTTGTTTTATTTGGAATAATTTAGTTATAACTCCTTTCTCATAAACATTTTTGTCGGTAAATTGTGTATCTGACTAAAACACAATAAGTGGCACAGTGGTGCACAGGACCACGCGGGTACCTCGATCAATTTAAATCAAATACATGCAGGAATAATGTACGTGTTGTGTACTTCTGTGTCCCTTTTGCGAAACGTAATAAATTCCTTAACAAGTTTGTCTTTAAAACAAATTCTCACCTTAGGGTATTGGTTTACTACAAAACGTATTTTGGCCGAGCTTTACTCGGCGTTAGGAAAAATATTCTCTGTCTAATATTCCCCAAATTTTTAAAACAAAAGTGTATAACTAGTATCTGTGGCCAGTGATGACTTGCGGTATTAACCGATTCGTTGCGGCACCGATTTTCGACAACTTTTAGCTGTGGCGGCGAACAAATATATCATGACACGCCTGTGTGTCAAGCACCACAGGCATTGATGACACGCCTATTGTGCCATCAGCGACGTGTAAAAATAATTATCTTTTTTATGCTTTTTTCACTTGTTTAGACCAAATTAAGTTTAGTTGACATCAAACATCAGTTACAAACTGAAGGATACTTGTTTTTAGTGGGTAACTGCGTGTTTTTCTACGTGTTTTCTTTGAAATTGATAGTACGTGACTTTTTTTTATGTAGAGATTACAAACATTTTGTACTATTTTTTGTTTTATATAATTTAAAATAAAAAATTTTGTACAGCCGACTTCAATATAAGTTATATAAGAATAACTCAAAAACTATTGGTCTGAACTTAATCAAATTCATATGGGACCACACGAGAACTATCAGCTTTCATATAAAAAAAGAATCATCGATATCGGTTCACCCAGTACAAAGTTATGAGGTAACACACATAAAAAAAATACAGTCGAATTGAGTACCGTCTCCTTTTTGGAAGTCGGCAGAAAAGAAACTTAAACAGTGGTAGAGCCACGCGGCAGCTTTTGCTGTCGCACGGATGGGCCGGCTCGAACCGGGGTGGTACCACGACCTCCCAGAAAACCAGCGTGAAGTAGAGGTTTACCTCTGCGTTTCGCTTGGTGAGTGCAGGTGCCCGGAGGCCTTTTTTTACTGGAAATGAGGCATTCCATCTTAGTCCTCACGGGTAACAACGCATCTACATTTTGATTTGTAATAGAGTATAGATGTAGATGTCTATGGGCCGCAGCAACCACTTACCATCAGGTGGACTGTGTGCTCGTTTGTCACCCTTATCCTATAAAAAAAAAGAATCATTTATATAAGTAGGTACAGCTAAATCACCCTGGAAAACTTTGGTTTATATTAAATTAAATTTTCACCTAATAATAATATTTGTAAATATCACAATCAAGAACCTTAATTTGGAAAAAAATAAGGTTTATGGGTCATTAATATTGTTACGAGCTTGGGGTTCGAGACAATTAAAAACTGCCGATTGAATTACCAAAATTGACACTTTAATTACATAACACTAATTACAATCTAAAATCACACTAATAATAAAACACAGTTCGCCGTTATTTCGCTTCGAAGTATTCTCTTGTATCGCCAATTCAATACTGCCTCGGTCGTGGTCTATACCGGCCTTAAATAGGTCCTCAGATAGTTTCCAGAACCTACTGTAGCGACATCTAGAATGTTCGAGTACATATCGGTCTCGAAATTTCTGGAAGGATCTCGACTCTCCTAGTTCTGCTACTCGACACTAGAGGACGCTAGTGTAACTAGTGTTGGCATGTTCAAGACATTAATAGTGGCGCGCAACACTTTCTTTTACTCGACACTAGAGGGCGCTAGTGTAACTAGTGTTGCCATGTCCAAGACATTAATAGTGGCGCGCAACAATATTTATAAAAGTTAAATATTATTTAATGTTATACAAATGTAAAAGTAAAGAGTACCATGTACAAGTTAAAAAAAGGTTGTCAACCCCTAAAATTTAAAATTTTCAAAATATCCAGAAACGAAGCCGCAGGCATGAACTACTTGCAAAATAATGAATATTTTGTTCTGGATAAATTTTCCAAAAACGCAATTTGAGCAAGTTATAACGATTTTTAAAAAGACACGACTTGTGTGTCATACGCCACACACAAAAGTAATCGATGGCACGCCTGACGTGCCATACGCACTGAACCGGTTAGTGATCCTTCACTGTCGGCAGAATGAGAAAGCTCTGTCACTCGGTGTGCGATGAAAAGGGCTATGCTTGGAATTTCTCTGCGGGATTAAGTCCGTAATGAGGATATCCGCAGAAAAACAAGAGTAATCGACATAGTCTAGCGCATCAGTAAGTTGAAATGGCAATGGGCCGCCATATAGCTTGAAGAACCGACAACCGATGGGGAAGAAAGATTGTCGAGGGGTAGCCTTGTACACCGGTCTGAGGCTATCGAGACGAAGTGTAGGGCGGCCCCCACTAGATGCAGGTGGCTCGGGACCGTGCTTTGTGGCATTCCTTGGAGGGAGGCCTATGTTCAGCATTACACTTGTTTTATTGGGATTTGATGAGATTTAATAAAGGACAATGGATTAAAATAAAGGATATTATTATATTGTTACGAGCTTGGGGTTCGAGACAATTAAAAAAACTGCCGATTGAATTACCAAAATTGACACTTTAATTACACAACACTAATTACAATCTAAAATCACACTAATAATAAAACACAGTTCGCCGTTATTTCGCTTCGAAGTATTCTCTTGTATCGCCAATTCAATACTGCCTCGGTCGTGGTCTATACCGGCCTTATATAGGGCCTCAGATAGTTTCCAGAATCTTCTACTGTAGCGACATCTAGAATGTTCGAGTACATATCGGTCCCGAAATTTCTGGAAGGATCTTGACTCTCCTAGTTCTGCTACTCGACACTAGAGGGCGCTAGTGTACCTAGTGTTGCCATGTACAAGACATTAATAGTGGCACGCAATACTTTCATTTACTCGACACTAGAGGGCGCTAGTGTAACTAGTGTTGCCATGTACAAGACATTAATAGTGGCGCGCAACACTGCCCCCTCCTAAGACATGCTCGTCCCGAGCATTATTGGCCCCATAATAACGCGCCAGTCGATCTACATGGACAATCTTAGGAGTACCTCTGGCACCTTTCTGTATCCGGTAGGTTACGTCATTGATCCTTGTCACAATCCGGTACGGTCCGTCCCATTTAGCTTGAAGCTTAGGAGATTTCCCTTTGCTGCGACCTGGATTGTGTAACCACACTAGAGAACCTTCATCAAACCCCTTGTTGTTTATTTTGCGGTCATACCGTGTTTTCATCTTCTCAGACGTTTGCTGGCCCGTCTGTCTGACGTGCTCATAAATGTCATTCATTTTGTTCCGCAAGTCATTTGCATAATCGGTTATACTGCGTGGGGCATCTGGTGGTATTCCGGTGATCAGGTCTGCAGGCAGCCGTAATTCTCTCCCAAAGTTTGCGAAAGCTGGCGTCAATGATGTACTTTCGTGAACAGCACTTCGATATGACAACAAAAACGGTTGTATGTGCCTGTCCCAGTCTCGTTGCCGTTTTTCCACAACTTTTGCCAGGTACCTTTCCAATGTCTGATTAAATCGTTCTACCATTCCATCAGATTGTGGGTGGTAAGAAGTTGTTCGTGTTTTATGAGTACCCATAACTCTGCAAGTGTCCTGGAATATTTGAGACTCGAAATTCCTTCCTTGATCGCTGTGAATCTCTAAGGGTACTCCAAAACGACAGAAGACTTCATGAACTAGTTTATCTGCAACTGTTGAAGCTTCTTGATTTGGAATGGCGAAGACTTCTGGCCACTTAGTGAAGTAATCCATCACAACCATGAAATACTTGTTACCACTTTCACTTTCCGGAAACGGCCCCGCAATGTCAATGGCTATCCTCTCCCATGGTGCACCAACATTGTACAATTTCAATGCGCCTCTACTACGAATTTGAGGTCCCTTTACAGCCGCACAACTTGTACATTTGCGGCACCAGTCCTCGACATCGTCACGACAGTGGACCCAGTAAAACCGTTCTCGGATCTTCAGGAGAGTTCGTTTAACACCCAGGTGGCCTCCTGAAGAACTACTATGGTACAGTTGTAGAACATCCGGTACTTTAGCCTTAGGAACAACCATTTGCAAATGACATCTGTCTCCCCGACCATTTTCCCATTTACGGCACAGGACTCCATCCTGAATCAGCAAGCTGTCCCATTGGGCCCAATAGCTTTTCGTGGTCGAACTCATTGCTGAGACGTCGCTCCACTTGGGCTTAGGAGCACTGGCCTTCATCCATTCCAGAATCGGCTTAATGTCCGAATCTTCCTGCTGTGCATGTTGTAGGCTGTCCTTCCACTCATTGCTGAGCTGGTCTGTCCTGAGCATTCTCACAGATACCACTTCCTTACCCTCTTGCCTAGTACAATGCTTGCAATCTTCAGGGCAAGGTCTTCTTGACAATGCATCTGCATTGCCATGAGATTTCCCGCTGCGATGTTCGATCACAAAGTCGTATTCCTGCAGTAGTTCAATCCATCTCGCAACTTGTCCTTCCGGATTTTTGAACTGCAATAGCCATTTGAGTGTAGCATGGTCAGTTCGTAAGTGGAATTTCCGCCCTAGAAGATATTTGCTAAAATGCTGCAAGGACTTTATCACAGCAAGCAATTCCCGTCTTGTGACACAATAGTTCCTTTCCGGCTTTGACAACGACTTGCTGAAGTACGCTATCACAATCTCTTGATCACCATTCCGTTGAGACAACACACCGCCAAGTCCTATATCACTTGCGTCTGTGTCAACTATGAATTCCTTGCCCGCATCAGGGTACCCCAAAATAGGTGTTTTGCACAGACGGTTCTTGAGCTCCTGGAATGCAATATCGCAACTTTCATCCCAGCAGAATTGTCGCTTCTCCTCGGTTAGCTTGTGCAGAGGTTTGGCTATATCTGCAAAGTTCGCCGATAATAAGAGCATAAACC